ACTTTGCAGAACGTCGAGCTTGGGGCCACCATGTCGCTGGGGGTGACAGCCACCATCAGCCACAGCCCCAGCTCCCCCCCAGCTCTGACAACCCCACGGGCCACCCTGGACATCTCCATCCTGGCCCAGGGAACAGCTCTGGCCCAGGACCAGTCTGGAGGACATCTCCATCCAAGTCCCAGCGTAGAGGACATCATCCCATCTCCAGACCCAGCCTGGTGAACATCCCACCTCCAGACCCAGCCTGGTGAACATCTCCATCCCATCTCCAGACCCACACTCAGCCTGGTGAACATCTCCATCCCATCTCCAGCCCCAGCCTGGTGAACATCTCCATCCCATCTCCCGACCCAGCCCAGATATCTCCATCCCACCCTGGAGAACACCTCCATCCCAACAGACCCAACACAGCAGACACCTCCAGCTGGGGGTGGGACACAAATGGTGACATCCCTCAGGATGCCATCAAAACAAGAGTCCCCATCTCCCCACTCCTTCCACCAGGACCTGCTGGCCGAACACCACATCCCCCTGCTCTGAAGGTGTCACATTGGGGCTGGAGTCCTCTGAGGTCCCCAGGGCCCCTCACAATGTCCCCAAGCAGCCGGTACTCACTCGGCGTCCTCCACGGCCACCGGACACTTGTACTGGGCGGTGTTGAAGAGGCAGATGTCGGCGTACTGGCGCACTGGGGCGAGAGATGGAGAGATGGGGGTCAGGGAGGGTCCCCCCAGAGGAGGTCCCCCTTGGGGACAGGGACAATAGCTCCAGGGGGGGTGAAGCCACGCTCCTCACCTGAAATTTTGATCTTCTTCACCGTCTTGTTGGTGTTGTTGGTGACGTGGACATTGACGCTGATGGGCTCTCCATGGTAGTAGATCTGCGGGGAGCAAAGGATGAGGGGACGGTGAGGTCACCAAGGTCACCCTACTGGTGTCCCCTCCCCAGTCCTCGCCCACCTCCTTGTCCAAGGACGCCTCGAGGTGCAGCGGTTTGTCCGACATGAGGAACTGCCGGGTGGTCTCTGCCATGGGCTGGGGGCCGGGGCGCTCCGGGGCATACTGGACCTTCCGGATCACCAGGCGCACCGAGTTCCTGTGGGAGGACAGAGGAGAACCTCTGGTGAGAGGATAACCTCCAACAAGACGAGAACCTCCAGCGAGAGGAGAACCTCCAGTGAGAGCAGAACCTCCAACAAGAGGAGAACCCCAGTGTCCCACTGCCCACAGCCAGCTCTGCCTGCACGCTGCCCTCTTTCTTGGCCCATTTTGGGTCAAATCCCTCTTTTCTTCTGCTCTGCTGGGTCAGGAGATGTTGTGGAAGGTCCCAGTTGGACGCCCAGCAGCCCCATGGCCATGCCCCCTGCCACGGGACGGTTGGGCTCCTTGCCTGCAGCGCAGTGGTGGATGTTTCCGTCCCAACCCCTACGGCACCTCTCAGCCATCCCTACCCTGGAAAGCGTTTTCATCCCAGCTCCACCCTGGAGAACACCTCCATCCCAACCCCCATCCTGGAGCACATCTCCATCCCATCCCCACCCTGGAGGACACCTCCATCCCAGCCCCATACCAGAGAACACCTCCATCCCAGCCCCATCCCAGAGAACATCTCCATCCCAACCCCATCCTGGAGCACATCTCCATCCTATCCCCACCCTGGAGGACACCTCCATCTCAGCCCCATCCTGGAGAACATCTCCATCCCATCCTGGAGGACATCTCCATCCTATCCCCATCCTGGAGGACATCTCCATCACATCCCATCCTGGAAGACACCTCCATCCCAGCCCCATCCTGGAGGACATCTCCATCCCATCCTGGAGAACATCTCTATCCCAATCCCATCCTGGAGGACACCTCCATCCCAACCCCATCCTGGAGAACATCTCCATCCCATCCCATCCTGGAGGACATCTCCATCCCAACCCCATCCTGGAAGACACCTCCAGCCCATCCCATCCTGCAGGACACCTCCATCCCATCCCATCCTGGAGAACATCTCCATCCCATCTCCATCGCACCGACTGTGGGGCAGCAAGACGGGGTGCCCCTTCCCTTGCCAGCCCCCCGAGGACGCTGCTCCCACCCAGGCAGGACAGACCCTCTCCGCTCACCTCTTGTGGATTTTCTCCTCCAGGTTCTCCGCGCAGAACGCTTTCACCTCGTAGTCCACACCGCAGGCCTGGAAACCAGGAGGGGGCAAAGAAGGAGGCAGAGAAACCCCTTGGCACCCCCCAAAAGGTGACACCAACCAACGGCTGGTCACCACCACCCGGTGACACAAGGACAACTGTCCTTACCTTCCCCGTGTCCTCCGGACCCGGCTGCAGCGTGACGGAGCAAGGCAGGTTGGGGGGGATCTGGAGGGGAAAAAAAGGCTGGGAGGGGGGGCCAGGAACCCCAGCCCCAAGTTGTGACCCCCAGCCCCAAATTGTGACCCCCCTGGCATCACCCGCTCGGCTGCGGGGCCGGGGGCTGCATCCCCTCCCAGTGCTGCTCCGTCTTCTCCCAGTGCTTCCAGCATCTACTCCCCCTGCCCGCAGTGGGAGGGGCAGGGGAACAGGAATTCCTGGATTTCCTCGTCTCCCTAATTGCATTCCCTAATTGCACGTTTCCCTAATTGCATCTGCTAACTGCACGGTGACATTTTCCTTCTGCCCATATTTCAACCCAAATCCCCGCTCCAAACCCCTCGGCCATCCCGGGATTACAAAAGGGGCTACGAAAGGGTTAAAAA